AGAGTGATTTAGTAAAAATTTCGAAAATCATTGCGCAGTCGAAAAGTAAAACTTTTTTTTTTTTTTATTAAAAAAAAAAAAAAAATAAAAATAAAAAATAATCAATTGCGATTTTCATAACAAAAATAATATTTAGAGAGTGATTTAGTAAAAATTTCGAAAATCATTGCGCAGTCGAAAAGTAAAACTTTTTTTTTTTTTTATTAAAAAAATGAGATTTAATTTGTTTGGAAACTCCGCTTTCCTTTACAATAAATCACAATTTAATTTTTCCATGGGAATAATAACACTCTTAAGTGTCGATTATTCGCAGTAAAACAACTAAAACTCATTAGTCATAACTAATCTATACGTCACGCCCTCTTACCCAACCAACAACAGCACTTGACTAACTGTTCGTGTTCGTTGAGTTTCCATTTCCCTTTGCTTCAGCACAATTCCAAATAGCGCAAAGACTTGAACTGCACATGCTTCCAACGTATGCATGTTAGTATGTATATACTGTACGTATATTTGAATGAATGCTACTCATAATCACCTGCCTTGCCACTGTTAACTACGGGCTTTCGTAACGAGGCCACTTGACTTGAGTTGTGACTTGTCTCGCGGCTTTTCAATGTGCATTGGAAAATACCGCAATACTCAGCGCATATGTATATAGACAGGCGTACATGCTGACAAGCAAGTGATAAGGTAGCCCAAGTATATGAGTCGTGAAAAATAAAAAAGAATTGGAATTGGTTTTTGTAAACAAATTCATGAAATTGTATATCACTGTATATATGTATTTACATATATATTTATTTATTTATGAAGTTAAACATATATGATTCTCCGTTCAGCTGTTACATAAATCTAGGTCATTTGCTTATATGTATGTATATGGAAGAAGTTTGTTAAAATTAAAAACAAAAATAATTAAATTACCAAAAGGTGAAAAATGACAAATTATTTTATTGTTTTTTTTTTTAGTTACAAATGTGCTGACGCTGTATTTTGCATAGCACAACTGTATATGTATATATGAAACGATTATATATATACATATACATAAGGTTGGCGCTTTGTAACCGTTGAAGCGATTTTTCGGCCGAGCTCCTCCTCCAATTTGTGGTTTTGCCGCCTCCGAAGGGACGATGGTTTTTTATGAGACGCTTTATTTCATGTCAGAAAACGCTCCCGAAAATTTTCTGCCGAGATTCGACCGCAATTAGAAAAATTAATTTTTCTACAATTTTGGACTCTAACCATGGCTTTCGAAATGGCAGTATGCATCGCCAAAAATACACTGGAGGGCTTAAAATTCCCAATCAAACGCTTGGCGATATCTGACTGACTAAAGACCAGTGATAAGGAAGGAAAGCAAAATGCTTGAAGCTCAGTCGCTCATATTTATTAATTAAAAAAAGTTTTCTGGATGAATTTCTCACATAATCTATTTCAAGTCCACTGAACGATCAAAATGAGATGATATGTTGTATGGAAGGCAAGTAGATATCTTGTGCACGATCTGTCGTTTTTGCTATTGCTTTAGTCCCATTAATAGTCTTGATAGGCGAGTTTAGTTGAATTCCGTTGAGTAATATCTAAAATATTCGGTATTGAGTTCAGCGGAAGGCGGAAAATAAAAAATCCGTTATATAAAGCCAGATCCCACCCAAATTCAATATTTATTGCTCACTAGACTATGCGAGATATATGTTTCACGTTTAATCGAATTGTGACCGCTGACCAGTGATTTCAGTGATAAAATTTTGACGCAGTGTGTGGGGTCAAGCCCAGCGAAAAATTTCTTCCATCCCTCAAAATTGTCCACTTAATTCGAGTACCCCTAATATTCAGTTACTGAGTTTTAGTGATTGTCGTAATATTCCTGTGCCATCTGTACTTGGGACTCAAGGGATGCATGAGCCAAGTTTCCTCAAAATATGTGTTTTTGTATACACTGACAGACTTAAAGACTTCTTATTCTGTATCTTTTTTGGGGTGTTTACGCCATTTGAGATTTCTATTTCCAACAAGAGTGCATCCACTAGGGGGTAATGCATCGGTTTCTATCAGAGCTGTAGTGTTCTCATCCATCTAGATAGCGTAATGTAAGCTACGAACCTGACAGCTGTCTCCTAATTCGTGGATTTTTGTACATATATATGTCGATGCCGTCGTGTATCCCATACAGTTAGCTCATCGTTCCACTGTCTGGGATATTCGCCGGCGCTCTTATGTAGAGGCTCATAACCTCTGTCTCGCTCTCTCCCTCTCTCTCTCTCTTTCTCCCGCTCTCTCTCTCTCTCTCTCCCGCTCTCTCTCTCTCTCTCTCCCGCTCTCTCTCTCTCTCTTTCTCTCTCTCTCTCTCTCTCAAAGGCAAATAATCACGATAGACGAAGTCGTCTACAACTTAAAACTCTTGAGGTTTGGTACAACGGACAGTCAAATATGCTTAAATCATTTAAACTTATAATTCGCTGAACTTTGATATATATGTATATATATGTTCATGTCTATATCCAACTTTTTCTTTTATGCCATTACATACAACCGTTAGTAGAACAAACCTCATATAATCTCTGCACATAACACAGCTGATTATAATTGGTTCTCTGTGAAATCTATTGAGAAAAATTCCGTCTGATTTCTAGTTAATGCCACTTATCATTACTAGTTAGAGCCGGTTTTAAACAGTTATCTCTAATTTAATTGGTAATGGATTGAGTAGGGCTAGAGAGAGGGAGAGAGTTGAATGTGTATAGCTTTCGAGTGAGCTTAAATATACTTTTTAATGCAATTGTGTGTGCTTTTGTAGGATAGAGTGTGAAAAATAAATTGAAAATCTCTTTATTTTATGTCATATGTAGCTGAGGAATATTTGGAGCAGTTTTGGCTTATAAGATTTTTAAATTTGCTGGCTGCGACAGTTCCGGTTGGTCTTCATGGTCACAACTGGAAAAAAACATTTCAAATGTGGATCCCAAATACATACATCTCTTGGCAGAAAGTCTCCGGTGTAATTCTGAAATTAATATGTAAATCTAGACAAAAAGGAGAATATAAGACTCCTCATTTGCGATGAGCTTAATATTGAGCTTTCAACTTAAAGCTGAAATTGACTTTTTGTAACATTTCTTTGCCTAAATCGAAATTACTCATTCTTAATTGATGTTTTATAATAAATAGTGCATATTATTCAATTTTTTATTATTTTTTTTAAACATTTTTTTTACCAATATTAAGCTATTTTTCAAGCCAAAAGCAATTAACTAATTATTTTCTTCTATATGCAAGTATAAAAAATATTTCTCGGCCATCTAAAAGCACTAGTTTTTCATTTCCATAATGCATTGTACATATGCACATAAGTATGTACGATATAGTTATAGAAACTTCTCTTGCCGAACTTAACTGCGACTGAATCAACCAGTTAAGCAGCCATTCAATGTCGTTCAGCTAGTCTTGGTGTGTTTGGTCACGTTTTTGACGCGCACTCGTACCTTGTGTCTCGATTGCTTTACTCAAGCGCCACATGAGTTCGACACATTTTATTGCATTATACATACTTATGTATGAATGCCTTCGCCTGGGTGTAAATAAATAAATATATATAAATGTTTGTATATAAATGTAAAATTGCAAATCCATGTACAAATATTTATACCGCTACAGTTATAAACACGTACATATATATACTTTATACCCAGCAGCCAAAAAAATTGTGATAGCGTAAAGGAATTCTAGTTTTGAACCGGCTTTTAAGGTTGGAAATGGAACCAATGTAGTGGTATTTAAATAGTTAAGGATAGACCAGTACTAATATGCTCATCGCAAAACCCTAATACTAACAGCTGCTAAAATAGTAAAAGTACTTAAGAGAAATTACATATACATGTATATCATGATTTCCGGCCGAACTTCTCCATCTCCAATTTGTGGTGTGCCTTTTGATTTTTGATTCAACATCCAAAATTAAAGAAAATGAATTGTTTTTAATTACGCTTGGTCCTCGGTAGGGAATGTCAAGCTCTCCAAGTGTATTTCTAACAAGAGATAAAAAATCCTTGAAGGGAAATTAATTACTGTAAAAATCCCACTGGTGTCATTACAGCTCAACTCACTACTGCATAGCTCCATGTAGGGTATTAACTTGCATGTTGGTGTTTGATTTTTTTGCTGTTATTTGCAAGTATTTATATAAATACATATGTGTGTGCGTGTTTTCGACGCGTGAACCTACTAAAGTGAATTAATTTTTGTTGTTTGTTGTCACTGTTGTTGCTTGACTTGAATTCCAAAGTGCGCACTGCCGCTTTTATTCTGATTATTATCTGCAATAATATTGCTAATTAAATGCAGTACTGTGCTTCCCACACAACTGTAAGATTTGACGTGAGTATGTTTGACCTATTTTCCGGAATAAGCACTTTATATGTGTATGCGCAAGTATATATGTATAAATAACAATTAAAACGCAAACCGTTTGTTGTGTGCAATTTCGAACTTAAGTGGATAACACGTGAGGCCCACTGCGTGAAATATATATATAAATTGATCTCTAGTTATTTATGTAAAAATATTTCCAAAATGTTTCCTATAAAAATTAATAATTTTAAGTAAAAAATAATAATAAAAAAATAAATAAAATAAAATAAAATAAAATAAAATAAAATAAAATAAAATAAAATAAAATAAAATAAAATAAAATAAAATAAAATAAAATATAATAGAATTTAGAAAAAATAATTTGAGAATTTAAAATAAATTAAAATAATAAATAATTAAATATAAAAATTAAATTAATGAAATATAAAAAAAATAAATAAATGAAAAAATCAAATATTTTAATTAAAATTAAAATTATTTGCTAGTTGATATTTCTTCATTTGCTATATCTGATTTCCTGGATACGCTGCCTATTTTTAAGAGAATATATATGCATAAATAAAAATATATATTATATAAGAATCTTCTAATGCTAATTCCGTACCTTTTATTCTTTCATCTTCCAGTATCTACCGCACCAAATACAGCAGCATTACGGCTACGTGACACACTCAATACAGACGCTGTCGAAATACCTCAATCGGATTCCATGCGTGTTGATCGACTAGACTTGGAGGACGGACAACATATAATATCGGAGAATTTGGTCTCCTCATCTAACATGGGACCGGAATTGGTGCGTGCTTTAATAGCCGATCAAATGGAAATGGAGATGGACATGGAGCATAGCGACATATTCGATGAAGAAGACTGCGAAGTACATTCCATAAATAGCGGTGCGCGCTACTGCCATAACCACATTAATAATATTAACAAAAACAACAGCAACCACCTGTTGCAATGCAATGTAAAAACAATGTTTCCATTAAGCGATAAAAAGATTAATAAAAGTAATGAGAAATTGAATTATAATCAACAAAAAAGAACACAACATTACATCAGCGCTGAAGAGGATACCGATAATGAATCCAATACATATACGAGTATGTGTGAGTTGAAGAAAACCGAAGGACTACTATCGATTGCGTTGAAGACAATAAAACTTGTGAAACGCAATCAAATGTTGCAACGACGTTTGGCGCAATTGCAGTTCGAAACGTCAGAGTTCATAGAATCGGTTATGGCAAATCCAGAAAACCGACACTTTCGCAATAAAATTTCCTCACCAGCATTATCTCCCTCAGCGCCGACAACACCAGTATCCCCAGCATCACCGTCATCGTCTTCATTAGCATCGCCTTCGGCGGCACAAATATCTTCATCATCACCACTGCAATCATCTACCACAACAACAAGAGCATAAGCTATCAAGTGAAAAGGCGAAGAAGATTTATGCGGCAAGATGTTGTTTACTTACTGCCACACTAATACTGTTGTATAATATTGAGTGACACGTTGCCCGTCTCTGAAGTTGCGAAGCACAATTCAACTATCATTGATTAACATTTACATATGTACATATAAATTTAGACGAACACATATACCCACGCATGCATCAATTGAGTGTTTCTCTGGTAATTGAGCGCATACATATACATATATTTATATATTTCTTACAGTGAAATAGTCACTTGAGTTGTTTGCATTGCATACTTGCAGGCGTACCTCAAATTCATTCTAAAATTGTGATAAACAGCAAATGAATATAACAGTAATGTAATACACCACAGCGTAATCGCTATTTATTAATCAATTTAATTCATGTACGTTATACATAAGAATAATTATTTAATGATTATAACTAATAAACGTAGATATATATAGAAATATTAATAAACAAAATTCATAGAACTGATAGCAAACAAATATGCTTACACACAAACATACATAAGTAAACCTACGAAGCAGTAGCAATGAAAAAATATATGTATTACTAAAAATAAACACAGCGACATTCTTTAGCAGTAAAATATCTAGTCACAACTGGTATTCTGTCACAGTTTCAAAAATGTATACAAAGGCGCCAAGGTATAAGAGAGAAAAAACTCTAAAAGCAAAATCATCATTGTAACTCGAGAAGTTATTCTAAATAACCCCCTGAAAGCTAATCAGGAAAATATTGAAATTATATAAACTAAAATCAATTCAAATTAAATAAAATAAAATACAATCAAGTTAAGCAAAATAAGAAATAAAAATAACTAAATAAATAATTTAAATTAAAAGAGAGTAAAATACAATAAATAAAAGAATAAAATGAAATATAAAATAACGTACAAAAAATAAATAAACTAAACAAAAATTTAAAAATTTAATCTAAAGAAAAAAAAACAAAATAAGATTAAAAAAATGAAATGAAATAATAAACAACAAAAGAAAAAAATAAAATAAATTGAAATAATTAAGAAAAGATATAAAACAAAAATAAAACAATGACACAAAAAAATTAAATAAAATGCGATAAAATATTGTAAAACCAAAAGAAAACTAAATTAAATAAAACAAGCTAATACAGAAAAATAATAATAATAATAATTAAAATAAAATTAAACAAAATTAAAAGAAAGTAAAATATAATGAAATGAAATAAAACAAACAAAAAATTAAATATATCCAATCAAAAAAATATTAAAAAATTAGATAATTGAAAAAGATACGAAAAAAGAGAAAACAAATTAAAGAATAAAAGAAAAACATAAAACAAAATAAAAATAAAAAAAGATAAATTGCATTAAAATAAAGTAAAATAAATTAAAACTAAATATAATAAACATAAATAAAATAACATAAAGTAGTTTAAAATAAAAAAATTAATAATAAAAAAAATATAATAAAGTTAAATGAAATAAAAAAAAAAACAAAAATTATAGATATCAAATTAAAAAAAAACATAAGAATAAAATAAACTAAATAATGAAAAAATATAATGAAATGAGAGAAAAAAATGAAGAAATAAAAAAAAAACTAAAAAAAAAAAAAAAAAAAAAAAAAGTAAATCAAATAAAAAGAAAATATAATAGACATAAATAAAATAAGCTAAAATAGTATATAATAAAAAAATGAATAATATCGAAATAGAATAACATTAAAATAAATTAAAATAAAACGAAATGAAATGAAACAAAAAAAGAAAAAAAATATAAATAATAAAGTGAACTAAAAAATGAGAAAAATAATAAATAGAAAGAATTAAAAATAAATTAAGCAAAATAAATTAAAATAAAATGAAGTGAAATAAAAGAAAAAAAATTAAAATAAAATAAAATAAATCTAAATGGAATGAAATGGAGTAAAATGAAATAAAATAAAATAAAATAAAATAAAATAAAATAAATTAAAATAAAATAAAATAAATGGAATAAAATGAAGCGAAATGAAATGGATTGAAATAAAATAAAATACAAATAAAATTAAATAATACATAAATAAAAAAATGAAATTAATACATAAATAAAAATATTTAACAAAAGTAAAATATAAACAGTTCTGTGTATCTTTCTACACAAAACAAAGTACTTTTTTACCAAATTGCTATTAAAACTTTCTACTCCCAAATTAATTTTATGATTGAAATAAAAATGTGTAAAGATTGTCAGTTTAAGCGGCTTTATTATATATATGCATAACTTCTATCATTTTAAGGATTAGATAAATGTGGTTATTAAATTTTTTTATTGCTTGCATATCAGTCTACAACTTGCAATGTAACGCTTTTAATAAAAATTATTGCTCCTAAAAATATGCCAAATATCTCTAAGCTTAGATGACATAGTACTGAATATTGAAGCTTATTTTATGCAAAATGAAATGCTTTTATTTTTAGCTACCAACTGTAGTATTTTGATTAATAAATATTAAATTCATCCAAAAAAAACTGTACGACTTTATACATATAAACAAATATATGCTTAATTTCTGTATGGAAAATGTACTGATTAATAACTAAAAGTTTAACATTTTACGTTGAAAATATAATATTATTAAAAAAAAAGTGAGTGCTTAGTTTCTACGTAATTGGCAGAGGAAAAATTTAAGAAATTACGAAAATTTTGAAAAAACATTTGTTAGTAATTAATTTAAGAAAAAAGCTAAAAATTACAAAAATTATATGCATTTTTCATAACTGTTACAGTACGTATATATAAATAAATTAAAATTAAATAAATGTAATCCTTAAAAATCATTTAGCTATAAACAATTAATCGCTTCACTTTTGGTTACATAATTTACAAGCAAAAAAAAAGTTAAAATCGGCCAAATGTATGGAAACCTCTGGTTCAAGTGATGTATTTAAATGCTTGAATTAACGTTTTTCGTGCGCAGAAACAAGTTTAGTTATATTAATTTATTTTATTCGGAAATTCGAAATTACTTCAATTTGGCTTTCGTGGTACTTTGATGACAAATTACTAGATTAAATTTATTATTAAGTTCAGCCCCTTAATTTCATTCTTTTAAAGAATGCGATTTGCTTTAAAAATTTACTACACTATTATTAATCTATCATTTACTTTATTATATTATTTTAGTTACAAAAAACTTATTCTACGTATGTATTCATTATTTTTAAATAAAATTAAATGCTTTTAAAATAATACTTTTTGAGTTTCTTTTTGTAATATTCTAGCTTAGAAGTGTGGGTGTTTTATGTGTTTATAAGTACATATATATATATTTTTCAAGCAAAAGTTGTAAATCATTGTTTACCGATGGTTCAATGAAGTTTACATAATTAATTACATAAATATGTATGTACAGCTTTCGTGCAGGGTTTTAATGAATTTTTTTCCCTTAAATCTTAAAATATAGTAAATTTCTGACTTTTTTATTAAATTAAATTTTCAAATTAAAAGTCATGTTAAACTAAGCAAAGTAACGATGAGTTGTTTGTGCGAAAGATCTCAAAATAAAGGTTAATTTAAATTTAATTTATTTTAAAATGAAATACATTTTTTTGTAACGCTAACTTTTTAGAAATCGTTTTTCAATGTACTCGTATACCATTTAATTCTTCAATTCGTTTGGAAGCGAAAAAAGTAATTAGCCAAAAAAACGCTACACGTATACACATACTCGTATGTATGTATGTATGTCATGTGTTAGTCAGATAAAGCTGTGTTTAAGTTGTTTGCCCAAAAGCTTACCTATGCAACTCTGCGAAGAATTGACACCAAATTATAATAAGTAATAGAAATAAATAATAAATAATTATAAATATATATATATATATGTTGCATAAATAAAAAGAGGAAATATTAAAAATAAATAATATTAATAAATAATAATAAAAAAAAGAAAATAAATAACAATAATAATAAAATCTAAAAATAAACAATAACCATAAATAAAAATAAAATAAAAATAACGTTAATAAATATTAGATTTAAATAACAATAAGAAATATTAAAATTATATAATAAAAATAAACCATAAAAATAAATAATAAAAATAAATATTATAAACAATAAATAATAGCAATAAATAATAATGAATATTAAAAATTAAAAACAAAAATAAATAATAATAATAAATATTAAAATTGTATTATAAAAATAAACCATAATAATAAATAATAAAAATTAACATTAATGACAAATAACAATTTTAATTGATAACAAAAATAAATAATAATAAAAAAAGAAAAGAATATTAAATTTAAATAATACCAATAAATATTAAAATTGTATAATAAAAATAAACCATAATAATAAATAATAAAAATAAACATTAATGACAAATAACAATTTTAATTGATAACAAAAATAAATAATAAAAAAAGAAAAGAATATTAAATTTAAATAATACCAATAAATATTAAAATTGTATAATAAAAAAACCATAATAATAAATAATAAAAATAAGCATTAATGACAAAAGACAATTTTAATTGATAACAATAAATAATAGCAATAAATATTAATAAATATTGGAAATTAATCATAAAAATAAATAGTAATAGTAAGTAATAATAAAAATAGAAGACAATTATAACACAAATAATAATAATAAGAAAAAAGTAATAATATATAATAATGTTAAAAAAATAAATAATGATAATATATTATAACAGAAAATTATAAAAACAATAAATGCTAATAATAAATATTAAAAACAAAAATATTAATAGTGAATAATAAAAATAAATTTTAATGATAAATAATTATTTTAAATATTAATAATAATAAATAATAATAATAAATAATTATAATAAATATTATAAATAAATATTAAGAGTGATTAATAAAAATACATATTAATGATAAATAATAATAATAATAAATAATAAACATAAATATTAAAAAAATAACTATTTTAAATAATAACAATAAATAATAGCAATAAATAATAATAAAAAAGAGATAACAATGATAAATAAATAAGTAATGGTAATAAATTATAATGAAAAATTATAAAAATAAAAAGTGCAAATAATAATAATATGATAATAAATAATAAAAACAAATAACATAAGCACAAAATAAAATAAACAATAATAATTGGTAATGAAAATAAATAATACTAAATATTAAAAATGAATAATAAAATTAAATGTTAGTAGCAATAAGTAATAAAAATTAACAGAAAAAAAGATAATAATTAATAAATAATAATGACAAAAAATAAATAATAATACGTAATAATGATTAATAAATAAATAATGGAAGTAAATTATATAAAAAAATTTTAGAAAAAATAAATGTTATGAATTAATAAAAAAATAAATTTTAATGATAAGAAATAAGTTAAATAATAATGATAACAAATAATAAAAATAAATAATAAAAAATAAAATAAATATGTATAATAAATAAAAATAAAAAATTAATTAAAAGAAGAACAAAAAAAAATAAATAAATAAATAATAATGGTAAATAATATAGAGTAATAGAAAACAATTATAACAAAAAAAATTATGAATATTTTTAAATGAATAATAAATAATAGTAACAAAAAATAATAATATTAAACAGAAATAAATAATAAAAATTAATAATTAATACTAATAGTAATAATAGCAAAATAAAATAAGCATTAAATATAAAAATAATAACAACATAATATAATAATAATAAATAATAATAATTCCAACGTTTTCCTAAATTTTGTTTTTGTTCAATGCTAAAATTTTGTTATGTGGAACGCTTTAGTTCGACTATGGAAAATATTTCACAAATAGACATTCATC